CTTGTATAAAATGTATATACTTTGTTAATAATTTCCTACTGGGCTTTATACTCACCCTACCGGTTTTTTGTGTAGGAAAAGGCGTTGTGAATCCGCCTAATTGAGGGCGTGGAAATGTGTGTGTTGAGAGCACTAAAGTTCTCATTTGCTGTTATCCTATTTGTAAGCCAAGGGCTATGTATGTGTGGGTTTGAATAACCATTTTGTGTATCGGGCTTAAACCTTGGAAGATTGTAAACCCTTGGGGTTGCTTATTTGGTTATTTACTTATTGTTGAATCAATGTAATATCGTATGAGGGACTATTATTATTATGTAATACAAGTATGAGAATTTATATTTGGTTTTCTTTTAAGAGAGCCATGATTGTTGCATTATCATTTCGGCTAGAAATTTAGGGCGTTACAATTAGACTTATTTATTTTGATGATTTATTTAATTATGTTTTAATTTATTTGAAAGAGAAAAATAAAATTCAAAATTTATTTTGATGATTTATTTAATTATATTTTAATTTATTTAAAAAAGAAGAATAGAATCCAAAATTTATTTTGATGATTTATTTAATTATGTTTTATTAGAATCCAAAATTTATTTTGATGATTTATGTAATTATGTTTTAATTTATTTGAAAGAGAAAAATAGAATCAAAATTTATTTTGTCCCATTATTTATCACATAAACTTTTATCCTAAATATTGTTTGAATGTATTTAATATTTTCTTAAATCAAGAATTCATTTCAATCCAAAAATAATGCCCAAACTAGAAGTTCAAACAGCCTAAAACAAAGGTTCAAATAGCCCAGCACAGCAGCAGGCCAAAAGGTTCAAACAGCCCAGCATAGCAGCAGACCAAAAGGTTTAAACAGCCCAGAGAGCAGCAGGCCAAAAGGTTCAAGTGAAAGATATTCAAATTAGTAATGATGGAGTGAAAGATATTCAAATGAATACAACGGCTATAAATTCAAATGAATACAACGGTTATAAACGGCTATAAGTTTCATTATATATACCAAAGCCTCTAATGTAAACTAGTTAAAAAAAAAAAACCAGAAAATATTCTTTGATCTATAATCACTCAAATTTATTCTCTGAAAAATTCTCTGAGAAGTGTTCTTCAATTTTTGTTCACATCATCTTTCAGAAATTATACACTGAGATGTATAACTTTAAACCCATCTTTCCTGTGTGAGGTTTACAGAAAAACCAGAGCTTCATTTTTATATCTATCTTTGAGAGATAATTCTTGTAGCTTTTTGTGAAAGCAAAAACACATTCTTTTCAACCTTGTAAGAGTGTAGTACACTCAGTGTTCTTGACTTAGAAAGTCTATGTAAAATCCGTGGAGGATTGCTCCATCTGTGAAAAGGTTGCTAGCACCCTGTGAAGTTAGAGAATAGTGGAAAATCTCAAGTTAAGCTTGAGGAGTGGACCTTGGCCGAGTTGAAGCCGAACCACTATAAATTGGTTTGCCTCTCTCTCCCTTATCTCTTTATTTTATTTAAATTGCCATAGCTATATTTTATATTTTTATTGTGCTAAAATCATTAATTGACATAGTTGTTAGAACACTTGTTTTAATTATTTTTATTTCATCAACTATATGTATCTATTGTGCTAGTCATAATTTTTATTAGAGTATTATTATTTTTATTTGTAAAAATCTAATTCACCTCTCTCTTAGGTTGTCTTTTGGGTAACAATTGTATATACGTATATAAAATTTAAATTAAATATAAATGTTTTGCAATAAATAATTTCATGTTAAATAAAAATATTAAATATCAATTAATATTAAGAAATCAATGAGATAAATACTATACCGATTTTGGTTTAGACCCGACCCACTTTGTATCCTAGATTATGGTTTCATAGTTTCGTATTGTTGTTTATGTCTTGCTCCCTTTGTAAATCCTTAGATTTGGTTTTTGGATTGTAGTGATTTTGTTTGAAACATGTTGGTTGCTTGGTTTACAAACATTTTATTGCCCAGAATTTTGCTCCTCTGCTCTAGCGACACTTCTTGCGCTCGAACGGGTTTTGTGAACTCTCAGTATTTTTGTAGGTTTGCAAAACTATTGAGAAAATGTATTCTATACTCAAGCGACGTTTTCTACATTCAAGCAGGTGGACGCTCGAGCGGCCTTTCTTGAGCTCGAGTGTTGGCTTGTCGTCTGCAAAATTACTAGATATGTGTATTATGTGCTTGAGTGTCACTTTTTGCGCTCGAGCTAAATAACTTATTTTGTCTGACGCTCGAGCATCACTTCTTGCGCTCGAGCGGACTGTGCATATATTAGTTCGTAGTCGCACCTTTTTATATCACCTTTTCATATCTTTTTGTCCTAAAACCCTAGATTGAGACTCTCTCTCTAAAACCTAATTTCTCTCTACATTTTCACCCAGATCCATTGGTGTCTCTACCCTAGTGTCTTTGGAAAAAAGGTAGAGCATCTCAAGAGCTCCACTTTGATCCGAACAAAAGTCGGTTTCGACGTCTTTGAAGTTTTCTCCTTGCTTTGCTCATCCTCTAACTTTGAGGTTGGGACTTTTTACACTCTCCTATGATTTTTAACTTAGTTATTTGTTGATTATGTAAATAATGTTGGGATTTGAAGGATACTAGACAAACTTAGTGTTTTGGTTTAAAATAAAAAGAAGAGGGTTTTCAAATGAAGGTATTGAAAATGGTTGTGGGTGTAGATATGAAGATTTGTTGTGTTAAATTTGTTGATTTTGACACATGGATTGGATTTGGAAGAAAATGGAGTTTTGTCCTAAAATGTTTCAAATAATTATTTTGTATAAATAATGGAATTGGTATGGGGAATGTGAAATTGGATAGATGTTTATATAAGTGGTGCAATTGGAAACTTGTTATCTCTCACCTATGGAAATTTGGATAGTTTATTTGTTTTGGAGATTGTATATCTGTTTAGAAATATCTGTTTTGGGCTATCGGTGGAGGATAGCTATACTTGTTGTAGAAATTGCATGGGAATTAGGTGAATTGAAACTAATCTCTTATCGGTTGTCATTGAATATGATTGTATTTTTAATACAGTGTATATGTATGATGTTTGGGAGGAAAAATGAGATGTACTCCATGTTTGGGAGAAGAAAATGGATAGACTCCATTGAATTAAGTTGGCCAGTGTGTCCAAGATGAAAGTCTCGAAAACCGTACGTATACATGGGTGCCGATTCCCGCGGACAAAATTTCTGTAAAATGGCAAATTGAAGTGTTTGTGTAATGATTGTATTGGTTAACCTTAGTTGGGTCATCTGGATAACAATCACTACTAGAAAATTGACTTTTTACGTCTATTTTTTTGCGACCGTCTATTTAACCGTAGCAAAAAATATACCATTTTCCAAGTCTAGCTTATGTATGTGCTTTATTTCACTTATTTCATTTATTTATATTTGCCCTAGTCAGTCTTGCTCAAACTCTTGACATCGCTCTCTTTCTCTCGCTCGCCCAAACACAGGTATGAATCACCCTTCCTCTCTTGATCTCTCAATATCTCTCGATCTCTCAATTCCTCTCACTCTCTCGATCTCTATCGCCTCTGTGTGTGTGTGTGTGTGTATATATATTTGCTAGGGTTTAGATCGATACATTCATCTGTCCTTCGCGATTTATATTCTTCAATTTATGTTCTTTGCGATTTCTTCTTATGATCGATGCCTTCAATATTATTTGGAATTTTGTTCTTCGCGATTTCTTCAAAGGTACGTGATTTCTGTTTTTCACTATTTCATTTCATGTAGTTTCAATTTCCAACAGATAATCGCTCCGTTCGCACTCTCTTCTTCTCTTCGATCATTGTGTTTCCTCTTTCTATCTACTTTTTATATTTCAATTGTTGTTCATTGAGGCCATATTTATATTTCAATTCTTGATAATTTTTATTGTGATTTCTAAGCATCAATAATTTTTTCAAAGTTCCCTGCATGTTTCATAATCTTTGTGATGTTAATTGATTGTGATTTGAATTGTAAGGTTAGCCTTTGGAGAAGCAACAAGAGCAGATCCAGAATATTGATGAATTTGATATTGACAACTCTGATGGTTGTGCTATGCTTTATTCAAAGTTTTGCTCTAAAGCACTTTGAACTACTACTATTAACAATCTAGTCTCTAAAAGTTATTAATAAATCTGCTATAGATACGCTTGGATATGGTCAAACTACCTACGTATCATTATATCTTCCTCTTCTCATCACATCATTCTTATTCATGCCATTGCTCTTGATGATCGGATGTGTAACTATAGAAGGAAATATAGAGAGTATGCTTTAGTTGAAATGGGCTTGAAGGAGCTTGTTTCATGTGGATTTTCATTTCATGTTTTTAGGCTATTCATTTCATGTTTTTAGGTTACTCTTTATAGAAACACCAACCTGAGCCGCCAATATTGTTTTTGAACTTTCAACCAAATGATCATGGGCTTGTTGAAGCAGTTCTTGTCTTCTAAGAAGCTCCTCTTGTTCGTTCAAAAAAAAAAAAAAGAAGCTCCTCTTGTTGTCTATTCCCAAGTTCAGCAAATTCTTGCAGAGTACCCTTGTAAACACCGAAAGGAAAAGAAAATATTCATAGGGAGGACCTTGATGGAACTTTTTTGAATTTGATGTTCTTTTTTTTTTTTTTTTTACCTGTTCTCTTCTAGAGCATGCAACTGAAATTTAGTTAGTGACTGAAGACCCTCAAAAGCCAATGATTTCCCATCTAGAACTTGCTTTTGCTTCTCCAACGAAATCCCTACCATATTACCAATATCATCGGCTCTTTGTTGGAGAGTGTTCATTTTTGAAGACATTGCATTTCCAACTTTACTGATCTCCTCCTCAATTTCAATAGCTTGATTCTTCAAGTTACTTATTTTTTCGCCAACTTTATTGGAAGATTCATGCAGCTTTGCCATTGATTCTTCTAACTTGTCCGTCATCGTTGCTTGTTTTTCTTGTAGTTCTGACTGAGAAGCTGCAATTCCCTTGGATTGCTCATAAACTGCTTCTGTATTCCTTAACACGAGGTTAACTTGAACTTCAACATTCTGCGTCAGTTTCGCCACTTGTTGGGTTTGAACATCAATCGAAGCCAAAGAATCATGTATAAGGTGCGAATTTTGCAACAGACCCTCTACTTTCTCTTCTATGGTCTCTAATTTGTCTTCTGCAAATTGGGCTGAATTTTTTAGTTCATTCACCAATCTCTCTGTTTGACGCTTGAATGCATCAGTCCTTCAATACCATGAAATCAAAATTCTAGTCAGTGACTGTACTAAAACCAATGCACTTGGATATACATAAATTATACGTATATGCTTTACTGTAATTGATGGCAGATGGAGTTGGTTTCAAGATAAAACTCGAGATAGATCTTCCGCGCATCCTCGTCCAATTTTGTGAGGCATTTCAACATGCTAGATTTTGCGTCACAATGAGGTAAAGGAGGCCTGCCAGAGTCTTTCTGGAAGCAATCGCTGAGATGCCAAGCAAGTCTAGACCGCTTTTCTTCACCGGCTAGGATCTCCGAACATCCAGCAAAAAGATTTTGGTAAGCATTTTGCCAACACGAATTTGATGCAACCATCTTTTTTTCTAGCATTCTTAACTAATTAGATCCCCTTTCAGTTGTTCAGACTTTCCATGGAGAATTCGCCCACTACGTCATTGAAAATTGCTCCATTCTCTGAAGGGTTCTCGGTAAGAGTCTCTTTGGAGGAAGAGAACCAACTCCATAAATGAGAATGAGAGTTCTGTGAAAAAAAACAAAAAAGAAGCAAGAACAGAGGATAATGGTGATTTTGATGACCCATCTATGTTTCTTAACTGATTGATTGTCTGTTATCTGAATCTATTTCCAATATGATATCAAACCTGCTTTAAAGGCCAAAATCAACCAATATTAGTAAGTGACAATTGCTTTTAGGAAGTGAGATGATTCTATGTATGATGAACATAACAAATTAGGGCAAAAACATTGTTCCATGGAAAGGAAAAACATCTCTCTCTCTTTCTCTCTCTCTCAAGATGTTAGATTGAAGGAATCAGTAATTCTATAGAAGTCTGATTTCACCTCTGGCCATATTGACTCTGGTGCCTATGCATTCAGAGTGAACAACCTTCCACCCTGAGCACAACACACAGCCTAAGTTCATAATACTTGTTAGATAACACTCAAAACAGCAACACTTAAAACAGTACTTAAACTAAACACAAAACACTTGCACCTTTTCAGCAGCTGTTGCTAGCTTAGCCTTTTTCAGCACTCATGGACTTTATTTCCTCCGTTAGCTAAGTAATCTGTTAGTTTAGTTTTTAACTAGAAAGTTTACTACTTATTACTTAACCTAGAGCACCTTAACAAAATATAGAAAGAGCCAGTGGGGATTGGGACAAATCAGTTAAGTTGGGTTCATACACCTTTGCTAGAGAGAGAGAGTTCTACACAATGAAATTATGGACTTTTTTTTTGTTTCTGTTTATTTTCTTACATGATCAATAGGTCAATGTTGCTTCACAGCAAAACTCTAACAAAATTTCATATTCTCAACATGAAGCGTTATTACTCTGAACAAAACTTTCACCTTTAACAATGAGAAGTGTATTATTGGAGCCCCAACAAAAATGGATTACTCAGCATCCCATAACATAGAAAATGGGGAGAGAGAGAGAGAGAGAGAGATTTCAGGTGTCGTTAGGGTTCAAAGTCGATTGCTCGCTAGGGTGTTTTGTCAAGGGCTTGATTAACATTGTTATTTGTACCAATGAATGAATTAGCATTTTAAATCAATTCTATTAACTGAGAATGAATGTTTGTTTATATATGGAGTGGGGTCCTTAGAGCTTGCTGTTAATCTTCCCTTAGTTTAATGCAAATACCAGAAGCCCTTTGCTGTTAATCAATTCTTTTTCCCAGAAGAACAAATAAAATTAAAAAAAAAACCATCCACCAAGTATTTATGAATTTAGTCAAATTGATGGGCTGTTCCATATGTATTTGGATCTTGAAAGCTTAGTTTAATTAAATGGTAGAAATTTATGATGAACAGGCTTTGCTATTGATAGTTGAATTGTTGTTGAATATTTACTTCAAAGTTGCAAGCCTTTGAAAAATACCAGTGGATGATGGCTTTGAATTCTCTCTAACACACATGGTTGAAATTTCACTATTCGCTTCAGATGAAGTGAGTTGGAAAGAAGCATGTTAGTGGTGATAATTGATGCATGACAACATAAATACAATGATAATTTGATGGTAACATTCATGGACTATTGGTGAATTCATGTTTCCCAACATGCATATAATGATAGCTTGAGATTTCTATGAGCATCCATTAGATATGGAACAAAATGCAGCATGTATTTCTAGTTATAGCAAACTGGATGAACAATTCTGGAAAATCTTGAGAAAAGGCTTTTTAGGTTTTGTGAATTTTCATTATAGTATGCGTTGGTAAATCCCTTTAATTACATGGTGTAGTTTGGCTGGCATCTGATCAATGACACGAATTTTGACAGCTTTACTATTGGCATGGTTTTACTCCTCCAAGGGGTTGATGGGAATCAATACTGTTCTTGGTGTCATTATTTGAGCTGTGCACCTACCTCTTTATGGAAATGCAAACCAGACAGAAGTCTATTGCGAGGTAACTCATTCTGCCAATTTTATTGTCTTTTTTTTGGTGCTTACTTTTCCATTAATTCTCATTCCTTGCCCCTCTCTTTCTCACAATATTCAAATCTAATATACAATGAAACAAAGAGATGTTTGCATCATGTTGTCATGGGCAGTGTTTTTAAAGGCTCAAGGCGCACTAAGGCGCTGAAGGTCTCTCGGGGCCTAGGCGCAAGGCGAGGCGCGAGTTTTATTGAAGTAAGGCGCACAGTCTTTGTAAAAAATAGAAAAATTAATATAGACTAATTATTCATAGTACTAAGACTTTTTTTTACATACTAGTACTTACTACACAACACAAAAAATAAATAACAGAAAAAAAACAATTTCAGTATAATGTTTAAATTAAATAACAATTTTAGTATAATTATTTAATTCATACATACATAAATAAAAAAAATGGATACATAAATTAATTAATTATTATGATTATTACATACATAAATAAATAAATTAATTAATTCATACATACATAAATAAAAAAATAATTAATTCATAAATAAAAATTATTATGATTATATGATTATATAATTAATTCAAAAAATAAAAATAATTAATTCATAAATTAATTATTATGATTATAACAATTTCAGTATAATGTTTAAATTAAATAACAATTTTAGTATAATGATGAATCAATTTTAGTATAATCATAATGAATGTAATGTATCTATTTTTTTTATTTATGTATGTAATAATCATAATGAATGTAATATAATGTATGTATAATCATAATGAATGTAATGTATGTATGAATTAATTAATTAATTAATTTATGTAATGTATCTAATTTATTTATTTCAGTATAATCAATTTATGTATGAATTAATTAATTAATTTAATTTAATTCATGTATGTCATTTTTTAATTTTTTTTTTAATAGAGACAGAGTCAAAACAAAGGAAAAAAATAAAAACAAAAAATAGAACAGAGCTAACTAGCAGAATAAGAGGAAGAAAAAAAAAACAAACAGAGCTTCGATTCGACAGAGAAGAGCCTAGTCGGAAGAAGAAGAGGAGCCCAACGAGCGAAGCAGAAGAAGAAAAAAAAAAGAAAAAAAAACGATCGAGGTTCGAAGAAGAAGGAGTCGAAGGAGGTTCGACAGAGGTTCGACAGAGGTTCGCAAAGAAGAAGAAGGAGAAGAGGAGGAGGAGTACCTGGTTCGAGAGAGAGAGACGAGCCCAGTCGGAAGGAGTCGAAGGAGCTTCGTCGAAGGAGAACACAGATTAGGGCTTCGATTAGGTTCGATTTGAGTCCTCTTCTCTTTTTAGATGTATTGTATTGCATCTGAGTTGTAATCGTATGTGTTGGAGCCAAGAGCTTCACAATTTTCAGCTGTCAGATATGAATTAAGCACAAACCGAAGAAGCCCGACTAGGCGCGCGACTTGCGCCTCTCTGCGCCTTTTCCAGGCGCACCCAAGGCGCGTGACTGTTATACCTCGCCTCGCCTGAGCCTCCTCAAGTCGCGCCGGCTGCGCCTCGCCTCGCCTGGCGCCTAGGCGCGCCTTTGACAACACTGGTCATGGGCACTCTCAAATAAATCTAGTGGGATTACTCTTTCACAGCACCTCTTTGTTTTTGATAAACGGTTTCCAAAATTCTTCATTGCAAATTCTTGAATTACATAGTGAAGTCAGAAACTTGATGTGAACTTATAAATAGTGAAGTCAAATTTCTTCTTGTTGTTTCCTTTTGGTATTAATCTATGCTAGGACAAAGATTATGTTAATCATGTTCATTTTTCAAATTCTTTGGTTTATTCATTAATCTGATTGGATTGGGTGACCATTTTCTTGTCTATTTATTTGTGCAAATTACGAATTGGCATCTATATTTTTGTAATTTACTCCAAGCAAAAGAATGTAGAGAATGAACCTTTTTTTTTTCTCTTGACATTTTCTTTTGAAATAGTTTTATTTTTATTATTTCAAGTTAAACTGCATTAAATTTTCAAGTCACGTGTATATGTTTTTGCAGGTTTTGTTGAGGGAGTAGTTGATATAATCGAGCGGCTGATGTTTGGGAGCCAAACTGAGATTATGTTGCTCTCTCTTTTCTTTTCTTTTCTTTTCTTCTTTTTTTTTTTTCTTTTTCTTTCTTCTTTTTTTTTTTTTTTTTTTTTTTTGGGCTAAATAATCACAAAAAGATAAAATTAACTACAAAAGTTAATAAGACAAAATATTATTTTTTACTCATAATCATTATATTTTTTTTTCTCACAAAAGTCAAAAAAGTTCAAAAACAAAAACCCAACAAGGCTAAAAAAGTCAGGTTAAAAAAGTTCAAACACAAAAAAATTGGCTATATTAACTAATGCCAAACGAATCCTTAGAAATATAGAATGGGTTGGTCCGAGCATACCTTGTGGACCGGTCAAAGTCCATGGTCTATTGCCGAGACTTATTCGTATCTTATAGTCCATTAGATATTTAGGGGTTGTTTGGGGTGTCCTAAATAAGTGTATTTTTTGACTTTTTATGAAATATGAGTTGAGTATGGGTTGGGTTTGAAATGATGTGATAAAGAGATGATGTGACTTAAATAAGATAATGTGACTTAAATAGGATAGTGATTTTTTGACTTTTTAAATTTT